ACTAATTCTAGAGCAATGTTTTTGTGACAAGTTTTTTGGGAATTTATAGAACAAAAATCTAAGCAAGATAGACACACTAAATTCATTATTTTCATTTTAAATTATCAAAAATATAAAAATATTTATTGTAGGTATGCTCACCATTTTTATAATCAAACTTTAATCGAGATTTTAACGTGCTTATTCATGAGCTCTGCATCAAATAAGAAATCTGAGCTTCTTATCAAGCTCATGTTGAGTTCGTTCACGTGCTTTAAACAATATTGTTTATGAACATAAACGAGTTGAACACATAGTTGATATGTTATAAAAAAAGTATCTTGATCCGGCACGAATCTCGATGCAAAATCAAGTTGGAAACTTTTGAAATTAAAATTGGGACCATCCGAACTTCGATTTCAGCAAACTTACAATCAAACTGAACGTCTCGAAAATACGAACCCAACGACACCAAATTTGACTCAATCCAAGCCCAAATGGGTCCAAACTAAGGGCCCAAAGCGCTGTTGGAAGGTTCAAACCACAATTTGAGTTACAAAATGATTTTGAAACATGACGTACTTATAGTCGAATCGAGCGGCTCAACATGACGAATTAAATGAGCCCAAGATTGCTGAATTCTTACATCATTAAGACCTTCAAATGTGTGACAAACGGTACACGATCAAGGGATTCAATATCGGTCATCCATCCAACCACTCCCGGTTCGCCCCTGATCTTCCTCCTATTTACTAGCCATGTCACTCTACAAAATATATAAATAGACCCCTCATTTCTCTTGGGGGGGGGGGGGGGGAGCAAGAGGAGGGGGGGGGGGGGGGGCGAAGCAAGAAGAAGCAAGAGAAGAGAAGAAGGGGAAGAGAAGAGAAGAATAATAGGAGGGAAGAAACTCCTTCTCGACCACTGAAGCTGGAATTCTTCCCTACTTCCATGAGACACCAGAACTTTGCCCGACTTCCATGAGGTGCTGGAATTCTGCCCAAGTGACGCCGAAATTCCGCCCGACTTTCCAAGTGACGTCGGAATTCCGCCCGACCTCCAAGTGACGCCAGAATTCTGCCCAACCTCCAAGTGACGCCAGAATTCTGCCCGACCTCCAAGTGACGCCAGAATTCTGCCCGACCTCCAGGTGACGCCGGAGTTTCACCCGAACTCCAAGTGATGCAGGGGTCAGAATATCATCTAATGCTAAAGTTCTTCTCGGCCGCCAACTGACATCGGACTTCTACCCAACGTCGGACCTCCGCTAGTCGCCAAGTTTCTATCCGATGTTGGGCTTCCGCCTATTGTCGGACATTGGCCAGACATCTATCCGATGCTGGATTTCTGCCCATTACTGGATGTTTACCTGACGCCATCCTTCTAACCTTCGTCGTTAGACAACAGTCCTTCCGACCTCCATCGTCCGCCGACTACGGTCCTTCTGACTTACGTCGCATGCCGACTACAGTCCTTCCGACCTCCGTTGCCCACCGACAATGGTCCTTTCAACCTTCGTTGCCCGCCGACTACGGTTCTTCTGACTTACGTTGCCCACCGACTACAGTCCTTTCCACCTTCGTCGCCGGCCATCAACAGTCTTTCCGGCTTACGTCGCCCACCGACTACAGTCCTTCAGATAAAAAAAATACATCAACAGTGATTCTTTGTATTCATATCATGTAATATACTCTACATGATGTGCATCAAGCTAATGCCTTCCCCTAAGGAAGGGCCTCATTTGTAATCAACTGCGAATACTAGTGGATTCATTCAAACTCGGTTAGGCCCCATGATTTTTCTCCATTTTCAGGAGTTTTTCACGTAAAAAATCTTAGTGTCTCTGGTGAACGACGCACCCTATCTCTTTATCTGTATGCGTGTTGGATTTTCATACAAAGCTAAGATGTTAAGCTTTATATTTCTCTACCGCCGCGAATACTCCAGGTGCAACAATAGTTATTAAAGCTTATTTATTTAAGCATCGAGTATTTAAAAAACTTTCAAGTTTATTTATTTTACTTAATTAAGTACTTAATTAAATGATAATGGGCGAGCTTTAATTTGGCCGAGCCAAAGTAACTTGTCAAACTTTCGATTCATTTGCACCTATATATTTGACACATTGTTGTCAAGTTCTCTGCCTTATCATTGCCAAGGATATGTGCATTGACCACAAAGTAGATTGTGATGTAATCAACAAAATTTCATTGCAATTTGATTTGACAAATTAAGCAAGTGCACTCAACCAATGTAGAAAGAGCAAGAACATTAGCATTCCCATAAGACCTAAAAATAATATCATTTTATTTAGTTGATACATCATCAAAAAATTACCTTGATCGAGCACGAATCTTGAGGCAAAATCAAGTTGGAAACTTCAAAAATTAGATCGGAGACCATCTGAATTCCGATTTCAGCAAACTTACAGTCAAACTGAGTGTCTCGGAAACACAAACCTACTCAAAGACTCGAAGCATTTTTGGAAGGATCGAACCTCAATTTGGGTTACCAAATGATCTTCAATCATGACATGCTTATAGTCGAATTGAGCGGCTCGACGAGACGAATCCAACGAGCACAAGATCATCAAATTCGGATATCATTAAGACTATCAAATATCCATTGAATGGTGCATGATCGTAAGAATCAAGATCGGCCATCCATTCGAACCACTCCAAATTTACCCTTGATCTTCCACTTATTTTCAAGCCACGCCACTCAAGAATTCTATAAATAGAGACCCATTTCCTCATGAGTGGGGAGAAGAAGGCAAGAGAGAAGAAGGCAAGAGAAGGAAGAAAGCTTCAGCCGCCTAGCTCCTCCTCGAACACCGTCGGAGTGCTGCCGCACCACCGCCGTAGTCTTGCCGCACCACCGCCGGACCACCAAGGGACGCCGGCGTGTTGCAGCACCACCGCCGTAGTCTTGCCGCACTACCGCCATACCACTAAGGGACGCCGGAGTGTTGCCCCACCACCGCCGTAGTCTTGCCGCACCACCACCGGA